GTGTGTGGGGTATGTGTGTATCAATGTGTTTCAACTTATGAGTGTGTGGGTATGTGTGTATCAATGTGTTTCAACTTATGAGTGTGTGGGTATGTGTGTATCAATGTGTTTCAACTTATGAGTGTGTGGGTATGTGTGTATCAATGTGTTTCAACTTATGAGTGTGTGGGTATGTGTGTGTTAGTCGACGGATTATCCTCATTGCACACCTAACCATTCAGTCCATGAGTGCTTGGATGCCCTCCTAGCTCCTAGGTAAATCCCGCAGCGTGTAGTGGCTAACACCAGTTCTGTGTTTGTTTATTCTTCTTCTTTGGCTACCTGCGCTTTGTTATTGTTTGGCGACACCCCGTTTAACTTGCTGTTCCTGCACTCTGACTATGGTTGCAGATTCACAGTTCTCAGTTGGTTTACGCAAGCGTCTTAAATCTCATCGCGCATTCAGTACATCAGCTTGGTCCATGGATTGTCCGGTTTTCACAGTAGCCTTACTTCCAAGCCTATCATCTTGTTCATCTCATTGTACCCCCACATAGTATGTATGTGTGCGTGCTTAAATTAATGTATAAGTGTCTGTGTATATGTATGAGCTTCTTTAGCATACATGTATTTGTGCATGAGTATGTATGTTTGCTTGTGTATTTATTGGATATAAGAGAGTGGGTAGATGTATTCGTTTCTATGAGTATATGTGTATGTATGAGTGTGTGTCGATATAAGAGTGTGTGCACGTGTACAGATGTTTGTATACACGTGTGTACGTTTGAGTGTGTATGTGAATGTATGATCAGGTGTGTATGAGTGCATGTGAATGTGTATATATATATATAATATATATATATATATATATATCTATATACTATATATATATATATATATATATATATATATATATAGTGTATCCGGGTGGCCAACGCATGTTGCATAATTTTGATTAGGATGCGGGCGAACGAAAATGTGGCCAACCCGGAAACCAGAAGTTTATAGAAAGGCGTGTCTAGCGTAGATTTTTATTGCATATCCTCGCTCTGAGATAATTTGATTGCATGGTCACTGGAGGCGATCTGATGGTATGTTAAAGCTTAAACACACATGTTAATGTGTTTCGATTTTTGTCACCACTGATGTAATTTTCCTGAACGTACGCGTTTATTATTCTATTTGCTTATAGTGAATAACAGATGGTTTGGTCGAGCAAGCTGATGGTTGTTAATGTAGTGATGTCTGCGAAGCAACGTTAGTTTTTTTGTTCAGAAAATAAACGGGTGTTTAGTGTGATGATTATAATTCAGTCGCTTGATTCAAGATATAACTTGTAGTTCGTACACCTCGTCTGACTAGGCATCGTACATTTAGTTTTTGATCGATATTTTGTGCCCCTGCACAGAAGAATTATTGTCTTTTTTTTTGTTTTTTTGTTCAGGGGTTAACTTCCTATTTGTCCTCTTCCATTTATTTTCTTTTTCCTCACTTCTATATTGCAAACTTAAGGCATGTGTGCAGTTAGATGTTACACAATTTACAGGAGTTGTCGACTCTAGGTAGGTGGCCAGTGCGTTTGGTTTGTCAAGTCTAGTCAGTTTAGGTTATCACATTGAGTCACATTTTAGTCTAGGTGCATGCAGCCTATGTAGGCTAGTTGATGGTGTGTAGTTATGTTACACACAACAGTTCTGTTAGATGAGTGTATAGTATCTGTTCAAGGGAAGGTTTGTGTGTATCGTTCACTGGGAGGGGTTTGTGTCTTTTGTTCACTGAGTGGTGTGTGTGTATTTCTCTTAAGGAGCGGGTTGTCTACGTCTGGACCTTAGCTCGGGGTCAGCTTATTTGTTATTCTGTCTCTGTGCCAGGTTTAAGTTTTGGCCTGTTTATTTCAGTTAGTCTTGTGTAAAGAACACTAACCAAGACCAGTTAAGCTGTGAAGTCCATTAACATTGCCGTAACTAATCAGTCCATTGTAGGCTCCCCCGGAGCTGAAGTAATGTCCGATCAGTGGTTTGTGGGTTCCCCTGGAGTTGAGGTAATGTCCGATCAGTGGTTTGTAGACTCTCCCGGGGTTGAGGTAATGTCAGATCAGTGATTTGTAGGCTCTCCCGAAGTTGAGGTAATGTCCGATCAGTGGTTTGTAGGCTCTCCCGGAGTTGATGTAATGTCCAATCAGTGATTTGTAGGCTTCCCCGGGTTTGATGTAATGTCCGATCAGTGGTTTGTAGGCTCTCCCGAAGTTGATGTAATGTCCAGTCAGTGATTTGAAGGCTTCCCCGGGTTTGATGTAATGTCCGATCAGTGGTTTGTAGGCTCTCCCGAAATTGATGTAATGTCCGATCAGTGGTTTGTAGGCTTTCAAGTTGAGGTAATGTCCGATCAGTGATTTGTAGGCTCTATCGGAGTTGAGGTAATGTCCGATCAGTGATTTGTAGGCTCTCCCGAAGTTGATGTAATATCCTATCAGTGGTTTGTAGGCTCTCCCGAAGTTGAGGTAATGTCCGATCAGTGGTTTGTAGGCTCTCCCGAAGTTGATGTAATGTCCGATCAGTGGTTTGTAGGCTTCCCCAGAGTCGATGTCTATTTGTAAGTTCTTGGCCGAGGTATTGACCGAATTCGTCTATTGTAAGCTCCCCCGGAGCCGAGGTATGTCCGAATGTCTCTTAAGACAATGGTGAAATTCTTCTAAGGTAAGCCCCGTGTCTGAGATAACAAGCTGCTGAAAGAACAGATCCTGGAAGAATTATTGGACGTCGGAGAAGAGCTTGAACTTTGAACTAGTGAAGAATGCTGATGTTAGTTGATGTCTGTGTTTTTGCAGTTTTGCCTGTCGTATATCAATAATGATTTGGTGTTTGTTCAAAGGCATTTTTCTACCGAGCAGCACAATAAATAGGGGTTGTAATGATTCTACTGATCTGATGGTGTCTCGGACATAAATGCCAATGTTTACAAATTCGGTGACTATCGCCATCATTGATGTAAATTTATTTTTTTTAAAGGGGGTGAGGGGGTGGTTTAACTTATCTGGGGGTGTCTGGAACCAAACATTCGTGTTTGCAACGTTCCAGTGATTATATAATTTCCTACTTGGAACACATCTGTTCATTATCCCGTTTCCTTGGGACTAGCCGTGCTTTGCTCATACGATCTTGGCAGTTATTTTTGTTTTGGGTGCATGTTTATGATACTACAAGTAACTATGTTCGGAGATTTATTTGCTTTCAGCTGGCTTTGACCAATAACTAAGTTTTTATTCTCTTCGTTTTTATTTTTCCTCTTCTCCCTTCTTCTTTGTTTCTGTTTATCCTTCTTTCCTTCTTCCCGCTAGCCCAAAAGAAATCAGTATGTATGAGTGTGTGTATGTATATACACGAGTGTGAATATGTATCTATATGAGAGTATGTATTAGTGTGTAATTTGTATGTATATGTTTGTATGTATAATTGTGTGTATATACAAGTAGCTGTTTATGTGAATATATAACTGTGTTTATATGTATGTGTGTATGTATGATTGAGCTTGTGGGTGTTTGTGTATGTATGGGTGTTTGTATTGTATTATGTATGTGGAAGTTACGGTATTTGTACGCGTCAGTATGATTGTATTATGTATGTGGAAGTTACGGTATTTGTACGCGTCAGTATGATTGTATTATGTATGTGGAAGTTACGGTATTTGTACGCGTCAGTATGATTGTATTATGTATGTGGAAGTTACGGTATTTGTACGCGTCAGTATGATTGTATTATGTATGTGGAAGTTACGGTATTTGTACGCGTCAGTATGATTGTATTATGTATGTGGAAGTTACGGTATTTGTACGCGTCAGTATGATTGTATTATGTATGTGGAAGTTACGGTATTTGTACGCGTCAGTATGATTGTATTATGTATGTGGAAGTTTACGGTATTTGTACGCATCAGTATGATTGTATTATGTATGTGCAAGTTTATGGTATTTGTACGCATCAGTATGATTGTATTATGTATGTGGATGTATGGGTATTTGTACGCATCAGTATGATTGTATTTTGTATGTGAAAGTTACGGTATTTGTACCCATTATTATGATAGTATTATGTATGTGGCAAAGTACGGTATTTGTACGCATCAGTATGATTGTGTTACGTATATCTACGTGTGGTGTGTGTATGTATGTATGTGATATATATGTGTGGTGTGTGTATGTATGTATGTATGGGATATCTATGTGTGGTGTGTGTATGTATGTGATATCTATGTGTGGTGTGTGTATGTATGTATGTGATATCTATGTGTGGTGTGTGTATGTATGTATGTATGTATGTATGTATGTATGTGATATCTATGTGTGGTGTGTGTGTGTGTGTATGTATGTGATATCTATGTGTGGTGTGTGTATGTATGTATGTGATATCTACGTGTGGTGTGTGTATGTATATATGTGATATCTATGTGTGGTGTGTGTATGTATGTATGTGATATATACGTGTGGTGTGTGTATGTAAGTATGTGATATCTACGTGTGATGTATGTATGTGATATCTACGTGTGGTGTGTGTATGTAAGTATGTGATATCTATGTGTGGTGTGTGAATGTATGTATGTGATATCTATGTGTGGTGTGTGAATGTATGTAAGTGATATCTATGTGTGGTGTGTGAATGTATGTATGTGATGTCTACGTGTGGTGTGTGTATGTATGTATGCGATATCTATGTGTGGTGTGTGAATGTATGTATGTGATATCTATGTGTGGTGTGGGAATGTATGTGTGTGATATCTATGTGTGGTGTGTGAATGTATGTGTGATGTGCGTGTTGAAATGAACGACTGCGTGTACTCACCGACTTTATCTTCAGTTCTACCCGGATCTGATCTGTCACAGTCTTCGTGCGTGTCCTCTGTGTTGTCGCTAACCTGGCTTTTTCTGTTATCCTTGTTAACTTCCACTCGGGCTAAAGCTTTACGAAGAGGTTCAACGAGTTCATCATGCTCAGTTAGGTCACAGAGTTCTTCCGGAGTACATCCACGTTCATCCTTGATATTGACGTCTGCCCCAGCCTCGAGCAGCAGGTCAACAACTTCTAAATGTCCTCTCCGGACACTGTAGTGTAACGGAGTGTCCCCAGTGTTTCTCTGAGCATTTACGTTTGCTCCCCAATGGATAAGAATTCTGACGATGTCCGCGTGACCATTCCAGGCGCTATAATGTAATGGTGTGTCTCTAGTGCTGGTCTCTGCGTTAACTCTAGCTCCAGCATCTAGAAGAGCCACCACAATGTCCGCACGACCATTGAGGGAACAATAATGTAGAGGAGTTAATTTACTGTTCGATACGGAGTTTACGTTTTCTCCAGCTTCGATCAAAGCTCTAACGGCTTCTGTGCGACCTTCCGCGGCTGTGAAGAGTAACGGCGTGACCCAACTGGTCGTCTTGACGTTTTCTTCAGCTGTCAGAAGTCTGGTAATCTTCGCATGGCCAAGATCAGTGCTATAATCCTCAGCTGTCAGAAGTCTGGTAATCTCCGCATGGCCAAGATCAGTGCTATAATCTTCAGCTGTAAATCCGCTCTCATTCTTCACACCACGTCTCGCTCCATGTTGAAGCAGACATTTGGTGATTTCCTCGTTCCCGATCCTGGCACTACAGTGTAATGGGGTGTCCCCACTACAGCTGACAGCGTTGACGTCTGCTTGAGCCTGCAACAGAAGTTCAACAATCTCTATGTGGTTGTTCCACACACTGTAATGTAAAGCCGTTTCTCCGCTGTTAGTTTTAGCATCAACTATGGCTCCATTTTCAAGAAGAATTTCTACAATTTCCCGGTGACCGTTCCCTGCACAACAATGTAACGGAGTCAGTTTACTCACAGTTTTAGCGTTGACGTTTTCACCAGCCTCCAGCAGGGCTTTCACGGTGCGCACACACCCCTGGTCGGCATAGAAATGTAGGAGGCTTGTGTTTAAAGAATTCATCTGTCACTTGTATCCACTGTGACGTCCGATCTATCCCGCTGTAAGTACGATAACACACAGATTTGCTGTAACACAGCGGTCACACACGAACATTCGGCAACTATCTTGATGTCACACCCGTATTCGAATATTATCTGCCCCCACTTGATACCGTTCAACCAGATAAGAAAGCTTACACATTCTTACGCGAATAACTGTCTTATCTAACTGTTGTGTATATAACAGTTAGACTACAACATATGTAACATACATGTCTGCCAGATTATCCCTGGGACACACACGAGACGCAGCTGTGTCAGGAAAGCAGACTAAAGTCTAGCCAAGATTTCACAGACGATGATTTATCTGTGAGATATCCCGTTATTTTCTGCCAACAATAGGTTACCACACAAACCAGGCCGTCGGATTTCCTGATTTTATTGCTCGGGTATTCCCGAAATGACTTTTCTACTTCGGCCACGACATCAACTCCAGTCTCTCCATGATGTGTGCAACAATATCCTCCCATGCCAGCCCGTTTCCTCCTGTCTCGCCATGATGTGTGCAACAATATCCTCCTATGTTAGCCCGTTTCCTCCTGTCTCTCCATGATGTGTGCAACAATATCCTCCTATGTTAGCCCGTTTCCTCCTGTCTCGCCATGATGTGTGCAACAATATCCTGCCATGTCAGCCCGTTTCCTCTTGTCTTATGTTGTCCCTTAGACATTGTCTTCCTGCAGGAAAACGACAGACAGACATTTGCTATTAAGTAGAAACCACAACAAGACATTGATCATCCCTTCGGTTATCCACCGTATCCGGTTTCTATTCGGGTTATCTAAATCATTTTATATCGTCATATCCTGCTCGAAATCGAGGTAGCCTACTCTAGTACAAACTCTGTGATGATATCCTGACCACTCCAGTCAGAGACTAAAGGCCAACAATAGGTCCTGTCAGAGACTAAAGGCCAACAATAGGTCCTGTCAGAGACTAAAGGCCAACAATAGGTCCAGTCAGAGACTAAAGGCCAACAATAGGTCCAATCAGAGACTAAAGGCCAACAATAGGTCCAGTCAGAGACTAAAGGCCAACAATAGGTCCTGTCAGAGACTAAAGGCCAACAATAGGTCCTGTCAGAGACTAAAGGCCAACAATAGGTCCAGTCAGAGACTAAAGGCCAACAATAGGTCCAGTCAGAGACTAAAGGCCAACAATAGGTCCTGTCAGAGACTAAAGGCCAACAATAGGTCCTGTCAGAGACTAAAGGCCAACAATAGGTCCAGTCAGAGACTAAAGGCCAACAATAGGTCCAGTCAGAGACTAAAGGCCAACAATAGGTCCAGTCAGAGACTAAAGGCCAACAATAGGTCCTGTCAGAGACTAAAGGCCAACAATAGGTCCTGTCAGAGACTAAAGACCAACAATAGGTCCTGTCAGAGACTAAAGGCCAACAATAGGTCCTGTCAGAGACTAAAGGCCAACAATAGGTCCTGTCAGAGACTAAAGGCCAACAATAGGTCCTGTCAGAGACTAAAGGCCAACAATAGGTCCTGTCAGAGACTAAAGGCCAACAATAGGTCCTGTCAGAGACTAAAGGCCAACAATAGGTCCTGTCAGAGACTAAAGGCCAACAATAGGTCCTGTCAGAGACTAAAGGCCAACAATAGGTCCTGTCAGAGACTAAAGGCCAACAATAGGTCCAGTCAGAGACTAAAGGCCAACAATAGGTCCTGTCAGAGACTAAAGGCCAACAATAGGTCCTGTCAGAGACTAAAGGCCAACAATAGGTCCTGTCAGAGACTAAAGGCCAACAATAGGTCCTGTCAGAGACTAAAGGCCAACAATAGGTCCTGTCAGAGACTAAAGGCCAACAATAGGTCCTGTCAGAGACTAAATGCCAACAATAGGTCCTGTCAGAGACTAAAGGCCAACAATAGGTCCTGTCAGACAGTCTAGTGCCCTCCAGACGACAAACAAACAACTGCTGCCATGTTGTCCGTGACAAGCGCACAAGCTGGAGTCACACAATACATGATGTTGTCACACAATACACGCTGTTGTCTCACAATACATGATGTTGTCTCACAATACATGCCGTTGTCTCACAATACACGCTGTTGTCTCACAATACATGCCGTTGTCTCACAATACACGCTGTTGTCTCACAATACACGCCGTTGTCACACAATACACGCTGTTGTCTCACAATACATGTTGTTGTCTCACAATACATGCCGTTGTCTCACAATACATGCTGTTGTCTTACAATACACGCTGTTGTCTCACAATACACGCTGTTGTCACACAATACACGCTGTTGTCTCACAATACATGCCGTTGTCTCACAATACACGCTGTTGTCTCACAATACACGCTGTTGTCTCACAATACACGCTGTTGTCTCACAATACACGCTGTTGTCTCACAATACATGCCGTTGTCTCACAAGACACGCTGTTGTCTCACAATACACGCTGTTGTCTCACAATACATGCCGTTGTCTCACAATACACGCTGTTGTCTCACAATACACGCTGTTGTCTTACAATACACGCTGTTGTCTCACAATACACGCTGTTGTCTCACAATACATGCCGTGTCTCATAATACACGCTGTTGTCTCACAATACATGCCGTTGTCTCACAATACACGCTGTTGTCTCACAATACACGCTGTTGTCTCACAATACACGCTGTTGTCTCACAATACATGCCTGTTACGTGCGTAGCTTCATTGTAACGAGTGTAAAAGTGACTAGGGGTGTCAGAAGTTAACAAGTGGCATCAACACTTAACATGCCACTGGCCAAGAGTAATGAATGCTGAAGCTTCCGTAGTAGAACAAGAACTCTCTTTAAAGGTTCCATTTGTGTATTGACAAATGCAATGCAATGATCAATTTCAAGAATACATATGCAAGTAATAATCAACTCGTTCAACCAAAGCTCGCTCGTACATCCATGTAATGATATGTCCTCACGATAGGTCGCAGTCCGACCTTGAGATCCAGACGATTTACTTTCTCCTCGGACAAGTCCGAATTAAGCAATGAAAGTATACCGGCGTACTGCCGAAAATGTAACGTTTACCAGCTTCCTGCTGAGGTCTTGGAGTCCCGGGGTAAAACGTCCTCAAGGATCCAACTTTATATAACGTTTGCTTCCGTGGGATCCCGGGGTAAAGCGTCCTCAAGGATTCCCACGTCCGTCTCCTTCGGACTATAAACATCAACTGCTTTTGACAACAACAATATCATAACAACGTTACGTATTGTTTTGACGTCTTATTTGCTCACTCCGTACTGGTGCGTTCTGGTGCACATTCGCACGCGACAATGCCGTTGTCTCACAATACACGCTGTTGTCTCACAATACATGCCGTTGTCTCACAATACACGCTGTTGTCTCACAATACACGCTGTTGTCTCACAATACACGCTGTTGTCACACAATACACGCTTTTGTCTCAAAATACACGCCGTTGTCTCACAATACACGTTGTTGTCACACGATACATGCTGTTGTTCACAATACACGTTGTTTCACAATACACGTTGTTGTCTCACAATACATGATGTTGTCTCACAATACACGTTGTTGTCTCACAATACACGTTGTTGTCTCACAATACATGCCGTTGTCTCACAATAATTGATATTACTTTTTAAAAGCCAAGTGCCATCCTATATTTTTCAATATACTTTTGTAGAAGTACATAGAATGATTACGTAGAAAGACATGACAGGACCCCACTCTACATCACTCAAGGAAACATGAAGGGTCCCACTCTACATCACTCAAGGAAACATGAGAGAACCCCACTCTACATCACTCTAGGAAACATGACAGGGCCCCACTCTACATCACACAAGGAAACATGACAGGACCCCACTCTACATCACTCTAGGAAACATGACAGGACCCTACTCTACATCACTCAAGGAAACATGTCAGGACCCCATTCTACATCACTCTAGGAAACATGACAGGGCCCCACTCTACATCACTCTAGGAAACATGACAGGACCCCACTCTACATCACTCTAGGAAACATGACATGACCCCACTCTACATCACTTTAGGAAACATGACAGGACCCCACTCTACATCACTCTAGGAAACATGACAGGACCCCACTCTACATCACTCAAGGAAACATGACAGGATCCCACTCTACATCACCCTAGGAAACATGACAGGGCCCCACTCTACACCACTCAAGGAAACATGACAGGACCCTACTCTACATCACTCAAGAAAACATGTCAGGACCTCACTTTACATCACTCAAGGAAACATGACAGGACCCTACTCTACATCACTCTAGGAAACATGACAGGACCCCACTCTACATCACTCAAGGAAACATGACAGGACCCCACTCTACATCACTCAAGGAAACATGACAGGACCCCACTCTACATCACTCTAGGAAACATGACAGGGCCCCACTCTACATCACTCAAGGAAACATGGCAGAACCCCACTCTACATCACTCTAGGAAACATGACAGGACCCCACTCTAGATCACTCAAGGAAACATGACAGGACCCCACTCTACATCACTCAAGAAAAATTGTCTGGACCCTACTCTACATCACTCAAGGAAACATGACAGGACCCCACTCTACATCACTCTAGGAAAAATGAAGGACCCTACTCTACATCACTCAAGGAAACATGAAGGGCCCCACTCTACATCACTCAAGGAAACATGTCAGGACCCCACTCTACATCACTCAAGGAAACATGACAGGACCCCACTCTACATCACTCAAGGAAACATGTCAGGACCCCACTCTACATCACACAAGGAAACATGAGAGGGCCCACTCTACATCACACAAGGAAACATGTCAGGACCCCACTCTAGGAAACATGACAGGACCCTACTCTACATCACACAAGGAAACATGACAGGACCTTACTCTACATCACTCTAGGAAACATGACAGGACCCCACTCTACATCACTCTAGGAAACATGAGAGGACCCCACTCTACATCACTTTAGGAA